CCCCTGCCCTGTGCCCTGTGATGCAGGGTGTCCCCTGCCCTGTGCCCTGTGATGCAGGGTGTCCCCTGCCCTGTGTCCTGTGAAAGATGGTCGGGTTGATGATTCTAATCGCCAACAAACCGATAAATTAGAATAAAAACATGTGCTTTGATTTTCGGTGACGTGGAAAAATGGGGTGGATCAGTCACCATGCCAATTAGGGCAGCAGAGGAATGTCAGTCAGAGACATCTGCTTGCAGGTTATGCCCCGAGAACAGACATCTGCTTGCTAGTTAGGCCCCAAGGACAGGCATCTGCTTGCTGGTTAGGCCCCTAGGACAGGCATCTGCTTGCTGGTTAGGCCCCAAGGACAGGCATCTGCTTGCTGGTTAGGCCCCTAGGACAGGCATCTGCTTGGTGGTTAGGCTTCTAGGACAGGCATAATTACTGAGCAAAATTGCTTCAGTAAAATGACTAAAAGCATGCCTTTAGATTAAAACGTCAGATGAGAAAGTAATAAAAAAAAGGACAATACTAACAAAGTATGGACCAAAAAATGATTTAGCTGTAAGATTTTTTGTGAGGGTAGAGGATGCCAAGCAGGGAAGAATTTTGCCAATTCCCCTGTTGTGAAGCAGGGCCCTCCTTCCACAAAATAGCAGATGCCTGGCCAGTCTTCTTCCAAACCTGGGACAGATTGTTCAAACACCGGATTTATTAATAAAGGAGGGGGCCACAGCCCGACCATGCCTCCATCCCCTGCCATAATGATGGCGGATAATTGGATTTGCTCTGGTTTAGCTTTGACTTCATTTCAGTTTGTTGCCGTCATGTGCAAAGTAACTGCAGCTTCTCGTGTTGTATTTTGGGTTGCACAGCACAACACAAGCAAAATTGTTTAATTTCAGTCTTAATGTCAATATTTTGAAATCATTCCTGGGGTTTGGTATTGGAAAAAAGCTCCCCTCCCAAATACAGTAGGTGATGTATGACTCCTACAGCTCCTTGCATTGCTCCTACAGTACACTCAGTTGTGTAGGCCTTATAAGTTTGTTTTTCTAAAACAAAATGCAAGCTTCATAGGGAAATGTGAGATCATCGTATCTGACCAGCTCTCTTTAGATTGGCTAATGATGCTTGTTTCTCAGTTTTTAAATGCTTGGAAGTCATCTTCAGTGCCGGTGGGAAGGCTGTCTAACCGTGGTCTTTGAGAGCTGTTGGGTGCCCTAATTTTCATCCTGCTTCAGCTCATTTTATGGCGATGTTTTTATTTGTTTATCATTATGGGATGGTGTGTCACCTTACCCGCTGTTTCAGCTGTGAATCGTGCGATAATTAAAGCGAACGTTCCCTCTCAGCAGCCCAAGGTGGTGTTTCCATGTTCTGATGGTTCTTTCTCCCACAGATACGGAGAAACTGGACCCAAACCCAGACAGTCCTGGCTACAACTTCGCCTCCAACAGCAGCTCTGTGGCCGCAGCTATATTAGTGCCTTTCATAGCCATGATCATTGCAGGATTCGCTCTGTACCTCTACAAACACAGGTGTGTTTGCCGGGCTTGGAGTCACACACACCACAGCTCTTATACACAGTTGACCGTCTCTTACTCAGAGGAACAAGCTGAGGAATTTTGCTGGTCATACATCAGCTAAGTAAATAAAGTTCTGTTTGTAGTAAATAAATTGTGTGTATCATGACTGGTGGTTTGCCCATGTCAGCTGTTTGGTAGATTAATTCTTTATTGGCCTGCAAAAAGCCCTTGTCTGTTAATAACCTCCATCGTTCAAGCAGTCGGGTTTAGGGTCGGCCTTATTACATGGCAAACAAGCCCTTATTCAGGCTGCAAGCTGAGTAGCCAAAAAATGGCTATTCCCTGAACTGACAAATCGGGGAAAAAAACGTCAAGCGCAGGACAAAATGCTGCAAGGCTTGCAATCCGACAATTCATCGTAACGTCTGTGAATGCTGTACATCAGGCTTGAAAACGTAAAAAAAAAAATGTTTTCTTTGCTTTGCCTTCCTGGTGAGGTTCTTGCTTAATACCATCATATTAAACAAAACAAATGTGTAATTATATATTATGTTTGAAGTAACATAAAAGCCTTGCGTGCAGTGTGACGGCTTATGAGTGTGCTGAGGATATTTCAAATGCAGTAATTAGTGTTTGTTTTTACATTCCATTAAAAGCCTTCTGCTCTGTTTACCGACGCCCAGGAGAAGACCTAAGGTCCCTTTCAACGGCTACGCAGGCCACGAGAACACCAATGGGAGAGCCACCTTCGAGAACCCAATGTACGACCGCAACATACAGCCCACGGACATCATGGCCAATGAGACAGAGTTTACCGTCAGCACTGTGTGCACTGCGGTATAGCGGCCGGCCTCCCCCCTTACCCCCTGCCCAGGTGAGTAGCAGCCAGCGGTGTTCAGAGACCTCCGAGGCGATTCTAGTATTTTTTTATGAGGCATAAAAACGACCATAATTCATACAGAGGGTCCAACCTTACCATTAGCCAATCATTTGGTTTGAATCTTTGAGTGAGCACTCTGGTGGCCAATCAGCTTTCAGCTATATGTACCCTGATGAACAGAGCAGACTGTTTTTCTTTATTCCAATGAAGAGCATCATTTCTTATTTTGCCCTTTGCTCCTCAGAGCCCCAAGCATCCATCCTTCACAGTTACGAGATTAAGTTACACGCAAAGTGGGCAGGAGGCACCCCAGTGTTTCATTTTTTTGTTGGTTTTTTATTGGCTGAGTCCTTTGTCTGCCTGATCTCCTCGACGGCTGTCCTCAGAGCCCAAGCCTTCCTCGCTGCTTAGCAGGCCGGTGACTGAGAGCCTGATACTGGCTGCCTTGCTCCCCCCTTTACCACGAAGTGCTGATTCAGGCCAGAGGAGTTTGCTTCAATCCAGTTCTTTAACAAAATATTTTATGGCATTTCCTGTGGATTTACCAAAGGGTGCCGAATATTAAGCCGTAGGCTGTGAACTTCCCAGAAAGTTGGGAGTAATTGGATTTTGCTGTATTCCATGCACCTCTCTGGTTAAGATCTAATCACCACCCCATCTCATGTGCTAAAACAGACACAAAATCACAATGTCTTTGATGGCCCTCGATACAAATGTTGAGGGATGTTGCACTGGTTTGTGCTATTGGTCATTTTTTAAGTGAACATTTTTTGACTCCTTCGCAGAACACATATGCATACAGGAGGCAGGTGGCCACATTTCATGGAATCTCATCTTCGTAGTATTTAGACTTTAATGGCCACCGTGGGACGCAGTGGGATAGGCCTCCCACTCTGTGATCGGAAGATTGCCGGTTCGAACCTCCACAGGCGAGATAGTCACGTCTCCGTTGAGCCCTTGAGCAAGGCCCGTAACCCTCTAAGATGCCGCAGAGGTGCTGGATAAATGGCCTGACCCTGCATTCAGACCCAAAGCTTCTCTCTCAAATTTATGTGCGTGTTTGTCTCCAAGCGGAGCTAGGCAGAATTTGCAAAAAGTAGCATGTAATTGTACTTGCAAATGCCTAACATTCGAAACTGATTTGTCCCCGACATTGTCCCCTTTCCTCGTCAGGCTCCTGTCTGTCGCCACACTGTACCCAGAAGCGAAGGCTGTCCCGTCACATCACACGTCGTCATCGTAAAACCTAAAATGCTCTCAGAGTTCTGCGTGGCACTGCGCCATCCCCCTCGCTGGAGTACCAGCCTCTCAACCTGCATCTCTAACCAGAGGAAGACCAACGAGATCGGACTGCAGTCAGAGAACCTGGTGACTTGTAAAAAGACAAAAAAAAAAACAAGAATAGAAAAAAACTAAAACATTCTGAATCAGTATCATCGCAAAATGGAAACAAACTCGCCAAAAACAGAGAGTTTCTGTGTTCTGTTGTTTTCAGTTCTTGGAGAAAAGGTCTTGCAGTAGATGGCACGGTGGAAAACGTGGTGAAGCACTTCACTGTCAGGCAATGAAAGCGAGCGATGCTTTATGTGGGACAGTACCTACCTGCTCATGCACTCTCACGGCCACAGGAAGCGGCCATTGGCTCTGCACCGCAGACGGCTTGGAGCTGGTGGACGTGCCTCCGGACGGTGCATCCTCTGCTTTTTTTTGTTCTGCAGTGGAGCAGATGTGTGGCTCATTACTCTTGTAGCAACTCAGAGCGCCAGACCCCCCCACAGCGCTCTGCTGAGGATCTCACTGGATATCCCACGTCACACGGAACAGTCCCGTGTATATTCCGCTGCGGATCTGCAGCTCCGCACCCCGATATATTCTGAACGATGGACTTCTAGACAAGGCTCCACAGGTGTGCAGCTGGTATAGCGAGTGGAAATGTCATGGCCTGCAGTTTGTCACCAAGGAAGCTGTATTAAAGACTCGCTTTTTGTATGTCTGAATGTGTGTGAGAGAGTGTGTATATTTGTTTGCAAGTGTTTGTGTATTTAAAGTAAATCCCAGAACCAAATGCCCATCAGATTTGTGTTTCCTGTGCACATAACGGGGATTGTATATTCAGGAATCCCCAGGGAGGTGCTGAAAAATTGCTCGACATAAAATTCGCATGTAAACACAAAGGGCAGGAGGGATACCACCGCCCCTCTCTGATGGGAAAAGGTGCTCTTTCTCATGACGATCATGGATGAAATGATGGAATTCACATAGGTTTTGTCTTGTGGGATAAGAAAGCAACTGAAGGCTACACATAAGTACTCAGAGGTTTGAAAAAAGATAAATACTCACCCAGTTATGACAAAGGCAGAATGTAATTGTTTCGCTGTGACCCTGTGCTGCATTTGCTCAGCCCCTTGTGTTCGGGCACTGCAGTTTTCATCACGGCCAGAAGAGGTTGTGGTATTGAATGTTCACTCTGCAATCAAAGGGCCTTTCTGAGTGTTAAAACTGGCATCTTTTATTGGCTGACAAGGAAGGGCAGGCTGCTTTCCGATTCAAGATGCCTTCTCTCTCTGTAATAGTCCCTTTGCTCGAAACCGTGGGCAGATGCTGTCAGGATAGTTAAGCTGAGTTTTTATAGTGCGTAATGTTGTTTCGCACCCTGAAATGACCGTGAGCGGTCATGTTGTGCGTGTTGTCACAGGGGTTGTGCCCTCACCATAGTATTAAGAGTATGGACAAGGGTGACTCCTACGCAAAGCAGGCAGGAAGTGATGTCGCATTAGAGGAAGTCCAGGATGAGGGATGTGAGGTGTTTTCTTTGCTTGGATAATTTGCCTGGAAACCAGACAGTAAGGTCACTTTGGTGCCCATTAGTGTTTTATCTCAGTCTCTCCAGAAGTGAATTGTGAACCCTGACAGGAAGTAATATCACAAATTTCATAGGCCTCAGGCCTCACTGGCCACTTACTGGTAGACACACTACACTGCATAAATTTTTTTGTACCTTGGTATTAAAAGAGAGGGTTAACAAAATACTGTACGTCCATGCTTGGTCAGGGCTGTTTAATTTTGCTCAGCACAATAGCAGACTTAGGTTCAGAAGTTGAAATATGTTAAAACTGAGTACAAAGTAGATCACAGTGGGCTAATTCTGTTTACTTCATGAATTCAGAAAAGTCTTTGGAACTACTTTTTTGCAAATTCTGTACAAGGTGATGAGCAGTCGTTCACGGCCACATTTTTCATGGTTTATTTTGTGAAAAGGATATTTTTAAGTTAAAAACTGCAGCTGCAAGTTTTCCCTAGTTTTATTCAGCTTTATATATGAGGATGGGCATAATGCATACGCAGTAGGTGTGCTATCGTACCATTTATAGTGCATTTATAGTGTTATAGTGTTCACACATACGGTCTAGTAGACGATTCTCCATCTAAACAAAGTTGGCTAAAACAAAACATAAATTAATATGTAAATGATCACTGTTTTGTTTGGTTTTGGTTGTGCGCGATGCCGCTAACAGCTACCCAGCGACACACTACAATCTGATGCCTTCTTTATTGGAAGCATTCAGCTATCTCTGCGAACGGCTCAAACAAAGGGACTTTCTGAAACGGATTATTGTACAGAACGTTAGCCGTTTCACACAGCCGTGGTAATTCCTTTTACTATTTCATTGCTTTTAAATGCCTTATCTCCGCTGTGTGAATTGATTGTCACCTGCTACTTATTAGAATATTGGAATGGAAAGAGTGTGAGGAAAGCAAAGGCTGCGTTTCCCAAATGATATATAAGGCAAAGTGGTTGGAAGGTGCAATATAACCACCAATCACCAGTCACTTTGAAATACATATGAAATACAGTGTTTGAAAATCAGGGGTTGGCCAATGTGACTTAGTGGACAGCATTATAGAGTCTGGGGGGGGGGTGTCCTGCCCCCAGGTCCGTGTGTGTGGAGTTTGCATGGTTAACATATATATTTATAAACATAGACGCAACACACACAAGCACACATGTGGATTCTTAGCAGCAAGTGAGCAGGGAGCGCTGATTTATAGTGAGAGCCACATGAGGGACAGCTGGGGTGCAGCCCTGTGGCATGACTCTCCCCCACCCCCACCAGTTTCCTGTGGTGCACCGATTCCTTTCCTCGGTTAATCTGTTATGACAAGCCCCAGCACGCTTTTCCCCATACATGTCTCAGATAAAACAGGCCATTACAATATTCAAAGAAACATTAAAAGATAAAATACATTTCACAAGACTGAGACCTAGACACAGTTGCCTGAAAAAAAAAGTAGAGATTTTATATATATATATATATATATATATATATATATATATATATATATATATATATATATATATATATATAGTCTAATAATTATATATCATATATAGTAACACATCACCGCCCATGTCTCCTGGGGGGGAGGGGGGGGGTCATGGTTATTATCACATATACACCAAAAATCTATGAAGGAGGGTTAATATTAGAAAGAGTGTCGCAACCCAAGCTGAGTAGGAGCCCAGCTTTTACATGTGTTCACATTCTCCTCAGGAAAACACGTTAATTGGATCATGCCTTCAAACAGGAAACCATGAACCCTATTGTCCCTATTTTGCCAAAGATAAAATGCAAACCCGAGGAATGAAGACGAGGTTAGACTAGATATGTAATACGGTGAAGCAGAGCAGATTGTATTATTTTAAATAACCCCAGAAAGGGCCTGATTTAATGGAGGTGCTGTGTTGTTTACACCCTGTGTTTCCTGCATCTCTCTGCTCTCCGCGGTTCCTGCAGCGGCAGAGATCCGACGAGCCTTCCCTGTCCACATGTGCATCTTTATAAATTTATGTGTTAGCAGAGAGCCTGGCTCTTTCAGGAAGGATCTTCGCAAATTATTAAGTCATCCTTATTGCTTGCTCTGTCATGACTCTGTCAGAACAAGTATGGTTATGTGTGGAGCTGTTTTTCCCTGTTTTTCGCCCTTTGTTTGTGGTCGCGGTTATTTTGCATTACAGTCCAATTTAAATGTGCCTGCACCCCAGCAGTCGTTGCACATTTCTTCGATGTTGCGCATGGAATTTACATTTAAAATGCATTTCTTGTCAAAGGTCGCATTCCGTCGCCGGCAACGCAGACCGGCCCTGCAGCTCTCGGATAATCCGAGCTCACTGATGCGCCATTCCGAGAGGGAACATCGTTTGTTTTGTCCCCGCCTTTGTATCCCAGGCTTTAATTGGACATCTCACCGCCGCGTCGGTTTTATTTCAGTCGTCACAGCTACGTGCTGAAGACTAGGCCCACAGGATGTCTCCGGGCGAAGCCCTCACAAGAGACCCTATTTGGCCCTATTTTCTTTTCCTTTAAACCTCCTTAAATGCTCCCCCAGCAGAACCCTATGCAGTGGATTCAGATACATGAAAACCATATACATTTAATTGTATCAATATATTTTCATTGTATATAACAAAATTTGAATATATATATATATATATATAAAGGTAAATATATAAAATATATATTTCATATAATTGCAATCATATATATATACATGGTATACTAAAAAGGTCAGAAAGACAGCTGGTATTCTGATACGTTCATCCTTTTATTTACACGAGGGTAATACCCGTTTCGAGAGATGCACTGTGACAACTTACAGATTTTCAGAAAACGTGTAATGCACGAAATGGTATAATGTGAAGGTAATAGTGCTTAGGTCAGGGCTAGGGCCAGTCATCATTCTGCTGTCATCGTCATGCAGAAGCCTGATAGGACAAACGTAATTTGATATATGTCATTTCTGTCTCCGTCGTGGTGCATCGTGCTGCTCGCCCAAATGGGGTCGTGGAAAATGAGCGTCCGGGACGTGGTCTAAACACATGAGGGAAGGGGGAGCAAGGGAGGGCAGTGGAGATGGGAGAATCGGATGAAAGGCAGACCTACAGAGACACCTAATGGGAGAACAAACAAACAAACAAAACCCTTTTTGTACAGAGATATATTTTTATGAAAATAAATTTGTATTATAAAAAAGAGAAAAAAAAGACTGAGCGATCTGTACATTGTTTTTCATTATTGTAGTACAAAATACTAGTGGAAAATAAAAACATAATTATATATATATCTGAGCGATATATATGTAATTCAAATAAAAACCACAATTTTTTTTGTAAATGTAATAAAGATTGTAAATAGAAGTTTACATACTTAGTGTACATATGTAATACCAACATGGCTTGTCTGCAATATATAAAATGTATTTTATCCGTCTGTATATGATGCTATGCATTGTGTTTAAGCTTATTTTACTTTCTTGAACTTGAAACCTATTTTAACGTTTTGTTTTCTTTTTTTTGGAATAAAATGTTTTAAAAAGCATTTTGGTTTTGTGTTCCGTTATTTTATTTTAAAATATTTTTGGGTTGGTGTGCTTGACTGTCAGGAGATGCAGGATGAAGGACTCAAAGACGGGCGTTTGGCGAACAAGGGGGTTTTATTTAACTTAACAGGAGCAGGGAAACAAACGAGACTGCGAGTAGTGAAAACAAGAAGGTGAGTAGGGGAAGGACAGGGGCAGACAGGAGGCACGACGGCAATGAGCGGCCTGGGGCTGGTGAGACAAACAGGTACTCAAATACAAAGGGTAACGAGGGGCAACAAGCAACAGGCGTGGATCATCAGACAGGAGGGTCAGGCAGACATGATGGGAAGGATGCAACATTGACCATGAATCAGTGTCTGTGCATGTTCTATGTGAAATTATAACTATATCAAATGTAATATACTAGTGTGAAAATGTGTAAGTACATTTGTTGTTTTTACCAATTAACCCAGTCATGTGGTTGGATGATGATCTGGTTACCAGTTTGCATAAGAGGTAAGACTGGTATAGTACAGTCCCTTTTGTTTTTCTGAGATGTTTTATTTGTTTGATGTGGCTCAAACAAGGGGTACCAGCCCCTCACCCGTCTCTATGAAATCTTTATCAGGGGGAAAACTTGGGGAAATTAAACACGACTGACTGCATGTGGCTGGACCTGTATGCAAACTCTCCAGAGTGCATGAAGCTGACAATTAAATGCCCAGTTTTAATATGCTGTTGTACCAACCTTTAAAGATGTGCTAACTCCTTTCGAGGGTGATTCGTCCATCTTGGGTTTCTGTCAGTCCTGTTTTGCAGCAAAACAGGCCTGAGAGAGTATCAATTACCAATAAAAATAATAAAAGGCAGCACTTTGTCAGTGAGGAGCCTCTTTCACCTGCGAGTGATCACTAGCAATTAATCACAGTCATTAGACCCAAGCAGCAAGTTAAACATCAGCATCTGGCAACCTGAAGATAAACAAACATGCAGACAGAGCATGACAGAGCTGCTAAATTCAAGCAAAAATAATGGGTGTGATGCTGCCCAAATTGCCCATAGGTGTGCTTATGTGTGTGAATGGTGTGTGAGTGTGAGTGTGCCCTGCGGTGGGTTGGTGCCCTATTCTGGGTTGTTCCCTGCCTTGCGTCTGTACCTTCTGGAAAAGGCTCAGGACCCCTGTGACCCTGTATAAGACAAACGGGTACGGAAGATGGATGGATGGATGGATATTCTGCCTGATCTATGAGCAGCGACTGCACTAATGCATAGGGAGAGGGCCTTGACTATTTGCAGTCTTACATGTATTTAAGTATAATGTACATTATGTAGGATGCCAAAGGTGACTATGGGAAGCATGTGACACGAGTCTTTGTGCAGCAAGAACGCTAAATATAGAGGACTGGTGAATGTCAAATAACATGGGGGGCGGTAGGTGCCATCTGCAATGAGCTTGTGGGAAAATGATTGCACAGAGCTGTTATTCTGAGCCTCCTTAGCACTAAAATCATATTCACTGCTCAATTCATTCATGTGCAAATCACCCCAGATATAGATTAAGAATGAGGGCTTTGGATGATAACCAGGCTGATGTCACTGATGCATTGTTCCAGGTCTTTCGCAGATTCGTTTAGTTGCTGTGTAAATCACCCAGAAACTGCACTGGGTGCCAGGCTTTGCGGTGATGTCAGACCGAGCGGGTCATTTTTGGAGGCTCTCTCAAGCACTGATCGTTCCCAGCAGCACCTGACAATCTGGCGAAGGTACTGGTGGGTTTGTGTTATGTCTCGCTGGTAAAAATCACATTATGACCTAATCATACCCAAATAATGCCAATTAATATATGTGTACAGAATTTATTTGCAGTATCTAATGCTGCAATATCCATCCATCCAGCATGCATAACCACTTGTCCTATGCAGTGTCACGGAGCCCATCCCAGAGGCAGGGAATGATCCAGGATGAGCTGCACTCACCATTTACACCTTCAGAGAATCCGGTGGCTCTAGTTCACTTTAAAGTTAGATTCGGTGGGCAGAAAACCTGCGGGTCTGTATCACAAAGCCTGGTTTCTTGCTTAGTTGAATAACTTGTCAGATTTAAGGTAACCTAGTTTAAATCAACCATATCTTTGTTTACTTACATTTAGTCCAGACTACCTTAAATCTGACAATTTACTCAAGCTAATAAAGAAATCCTGCTTTGCGATACAGGCCCCTAGAGGGACCCCAGAATGACCCAGGGAGAGCATGCAAACTCTACTTACATGAACTCGAACCCTGGAATCCACAGGTGCGAGATAACATCAGTGCCAATCAGCGCACCGCTGTAGCAGAGCCCTGGGGTAAGCCGCTCTGTAGGAGTCTAAGCCATCGTCCAGAGTGCCATTTGACTAGGGGGTGTAAAAAGTGACTGAAATACCTCTGCTTGCATTCCATGACGTTAGTTATTTACACTAGTTTTAATATTACACGATTTTTCTTGTGAAACAGATGTGAACTTGGTAGTTAGCAGCCAGATAACCTGTGTTACTGATAGGATTTCAATATAAAAATTGGGGGTCCTGGAAGAATCTCACAGAGGGCACCAGAACACCCAGGATCGGCGTTGGCAGAACCAACACATGATTATTCGTAGTGTCTTTTTTTGAATGATTAATGTCTCTGTGTTCTGCTTTGCCATGGGTCTGCATTGTACAGAGTAAGTGCAGCGATATCATTGGTGGTTTGCGGTAAAAAAATGTCACCTTGAAATTTGTGTAAAGAGAAAAGAGCAGGGTTAATGGTGGCAAATGGCAGGAGTGTTTGGTGTGACTGATCGGCCAGATGACTGATCTGCAATGAGACACTTAACGGCATCAGCATTATTCTGCTTCACTCGGAGAAGCAGAATATGACGACGAAGATTAACATGTCTGATTAGCTCTGCCT